CCCCGCCCCTGCCCCCGCCCCCGCGGGTGCAAGCGGCAGCGGCGGTGGCGCCGAAAGCTCCGGCGGGCCGCGGGCGGCGGCGCCAGCATACACCGCGTTTGGCGGCAGGGTGCAGCAGGAGGCCACCGGTGATTGGTCCCTCAAAGGCTTCGACTCTGAGCTCCGAGCGCTGCGAGAGCGGCTGCCCTTTCTGCAGCAGCGCCTGCGCACCGCCGTGAAGGCGGAGCAGGCGGAGCAGGCGCGGGAGCTGCGGCAGCTGTATGCCACCAGCAGCCTGGAGCGGCTGCGGCAGGACGGGGTGCTGCTGCACCCGCTGCGCGCGGCGCCGCACAGCGTGGAGCTGGGGCAGATGATCTGGCGGTTGACCGGGGTCAAAGCAGAACGAGACCTGCCACAGCACAAGTTCAAGGTACATGGCTGCCGCGGCCACGCATGTCTCTCTCTGTTTTCTGATGCCTTTTTTCACAACGGGTCTGTGGCAATAGAGATGGAGCAGCCACAAAGCCAGGCATGATGACATGAACTCTCGACCTGTCTATCTGACTGCCAGAAGGCGGCCGAGGCGCCGTTGCTGCCACGGTTGCTGGTGGCTTCACCGGCGACGCGACCGGACCCTGCCCGCGGCCTGCAGCCCGTCGTTTTGTGTGACCGATCTCATGTCGCCGTCATACTCACCACAGGCGGGCGATAATGTGCTCATACGGCGGCAACCAGCAGACGGCGGCACGGTGGGGTCCCTCGCCGAGCAGGGCTGCCCGGGGCCGCTCGCCCGCCAGCCGAACAAAATGCGACGCCCTGCCACCGTCCGAGCTGGGGCCAACGCTGTTCGATTCCAACGGTACCCTCCTTCCCTTATTCTCCAATCTCCCCCCCCCCTGTCCAGACCCCGCAGCAGCGGCGCGGCCGCGCCTCGCCTGGCGCCTCATTTGGCTCTGGCGGCTCGAGCTATGCTGACGAGGACGAGGATGAGGGGGAGGGGGCAGAGGACAGCGATTACGGGGAAGGGGAGGGGCGCGGAGGCGGCGGCGGCGCGGCGGCCCGAGGCCGCGCGCCCATCAGCGCCACGCTGCAGGTGCGCGGAGGCGCGCGTTCCACTTGTTGCTGAAGCCTCCGCGCCCCTGCGCTCTCCCCCGTCCTTTACTCTGCGAGCTGCGCGGGGCCGCTCGGCAGCGCGCGCGCGCGCGCGCCGCGGCCCTCTCCGCCACGGGCCAGTGCCGCGCATTGCCGCACGCTCCCCCTTAAGCCCCAGCGCAAGCCTGTAATTCCAGGTCCACACCCCTACCCCCTCCCCACCCCCAGGCGGTGCACAAGAAGTACCTCCTGGTGGCAATGGACAAGGAGGATTCAGACACCATGCAGGTGTTGACATATATCAGCGCACATATTACCATCGCCCGCGCCTCGTGCGTCTCGTGCTGCGGCCCGCCGGCCGCCGAATCATGCAGCCCCGCCGGCGCAGGCGGGTGCCCGCGCCCCAGCCCCCGCGCGCAATCAGTTTTGCACCCCCATTTCTTCACACTTCATGCGAAATATGCACGGCCTCAAATCGACGCGTTCCTTATCCAAACCATCAAAAGCAACAGAAATCTAAAATTTGCGTCAGCAAGGAAGGCCAAGAGCATGTGGCTTCACCCACAAACACGCCGCGCCCGCCTCGGCCCTTCCATCTCTTGCGCGCTGCAGGCAGAGGTCGCGGGCAGCCCCGCCCTGGCGCCGCCCGCGGACTGGCGGGTCGACCAGGCCGAGAACGACGTGGCGGCCAAGAGGCAGCTGGAGGCGATAGAGCGGCTCGGCAGCCTGCAGGTCCACCACCAGGGTTCAGGGGTTCCCAGCGCAGGCTCCACCAGGAAGGGGTTAAAGGGGGCGGGGTTCCTGATGTTCTGCGCGCATCCCCCTGGCCAAGTGGCGACCACTTGACAGGCGGCAGTGGCCTGGCTTGCAAAACTCCTGCCGAACCGAAGTGGGCCGCCGCGCGTCGGTTCCCCGGCTCGCCGCCTCCACTGCCTGGGCGGTAGTTTGAGTGCGAGGGCGGCCGGCGCAGGCCGACGCCCCTTGCGCTCCCCCACAATCTCCGGGGCGCCCCCACGCAACTGCTGCAAAGGCCATTCACCCCCACGCCCCGGCCGTCTCACCCGAGTCCGGAACCCCCGCCCTCTTGCCCACATCCAAAGGATAAGGAGCACGCGGCCTTCGAGCAGCTTGCGCGCTGCTGCACAGTCGGCTCCCCCCGCTCCGCTGACGTCGCGCGCGTCCCTCCGCTGTGGGTGCGCGACAAGGGCTGGCGCGCCGCCGCCAAGGCGCAGCTCGCGGCGCAGCACGGGCTGAACCGGTCGCAGCGCAAGGCGGTGGCTGACGCGATGATCGCGAGCGTCACGCTGTGGCAGGGGCCGCCGGGGACGGGCAAGACGGCCACGCTGCTGGCGCTCATTCAGGTGCTTGTGTGTGTGTGTGTGTTGTGTGTGTGTTCATGTGTGTGTGTGTGCGCGTGTGCGTGTTTGTGTATGTGTTTGTGTGTGTGTGTGTGTGTGTGTGTGTGTGTGTGTGTGTGTGTGTGTGTGTGTGCACGTGCGTGCGCACGCACGCGTGCATGTGCGTGTGCGTG